TTTAAAATTTATAAATAAAAATTTCAAGTTCTTATAATGTGCCATCAGCTACTTACACCTTCAATGTGAACAATTCATATTAGCCATCAAAAGATTTATGACTTGAATGCTTGTAAGGCTTCAAAAAGACTTGGGCCTAAGCCCATACTTCCCATTGTCACTATTGATAATGATAATGATTTGAAAAATAAAATAAAACTTTCATTTAAAAGTCCAATAAATTTCCCCATTAAAAAAAAATTCACTAAATTTCAATTAAAAAAAAAAACTTAGGAATTTCAAACTTCAATCCTCAAATTTTACCCCAAAAAAAAAAAAAATCTAACTTCAGACTCAGTCTTGGGTCGGGCCTGAGGCCCAAAATCAATTTTCCGCCCCACCCGTCAGAAACCCTGACTCCGTTTTGTTCCCCAATCTTAAAAACTCCAAAATTCGCCGCCACATTTCCCTCAAACCCGCGAAAACTCCATCTCACCGTTCCCTCCAGAACGCACTTTCATAACCAAAACCCCCAAATCGCCGCCGCGCTTCCAAGGGAAGCTGTTCAGGAGTCTATCGATATCCGCCGCTTATTTTCCGGGGACGTGAAAGAAGCGCAAAGCTTTGCTGGTGATACTCCGATTTGCCGACTTGTCGGCTTATGGTGGTGTGTGTTTCCCTGTAGCGAGAACACCTTCCGTCCCGGACCCGTCGAAACAGCAGGAACAGTAGGGTTTGCGACGGAAGTCATGGGAATAGACCGGCCAAACCAGTTTTCTGATATGGAGGATGCCGATTTCGACGATTCACAATTAGCATATCATGTTAAGGATATTCTCAATTCAGTTTTGATTGTAAGCAACCTCAAAACTTAACATGCTTCATGATTTTAGACGTGATTCTTCCTAAATTCAATTAAATTCCTGCTCTCTGTCTTCTTGGCTAAATGGGTTTTATGTTTTGACTCTGAGCTATGGTTTTTTTTGTCCCCTACTTCTAACGTATATCTTGGTGAACATATCATTTATTGATCGTTCAACTAAGTTAAAAACTATTGACAAATTTTCTCTCAGGGTGAAAACGACCTTTATAACCAGCTTGTTGGGGTTATGCACCGTTCGAGAAATCTTCAATTTGATGAGGTTGGCTTGCTTGAGGTAATTACAACCAGACATGAGTCTTAATGCTGTTTTGTCCTGCTGATTATTGGTTAATGCACTTTGCCAAATTTCATTATTTCATTTGCCATGGCAGACGAGTTTAACAGCGCTATCTGGAGCTGTTTCTTGTTTAGACATTGCTCATCATGAGTCCCTTCTGTCTGTTGTAAGTTAATGTTCATGGATTTCCGTTGTCCTTTTTGTCAAGTACCTTTACAGGGTTTGCCAATTAATTTTTGTGGTAAATTGTTCCAGATATTTAGTATGAGCTTGTGGAACTACAGGCCTAGTGTGATGGACGCATTGGTTGAACTGATTGTGTCCATGGTATGTTTGCTTCTATCACCTGTAGACCTAATTTTTGGAATATGTTTGTGAGCCATTATGCTTAGTAATGTGTGTACTTATTGCAGGCTATTTCAAATGGAAAATTTGTTGATTTGTCTTTAGGGATGCTAGTAAGCAATTTTATGCCGCCTCCTTATTTCCTTGATAGATTGAAGCACCCACGTGGTCTTGAGAGGAAGTACCAAGTTACTTCTCGGGTCCATGCTGCTTTGGAAAAGATAACTGAATATGTGCCTCTTGCCCCCTTAAGATTATTGCCAATAGTTCTCGAGGGAATGCCAACAATCCATAGGAATGATCACGTGAGTTCAGTTTTAACTGGCCAATTTTGAATCTTTTACTGTTATAATTTTTTCTTATGATATAAGTGCAGATTATGCTGATTGACTTAACCTGGATAACTGGTATGATAACATGAGTTTAGGAGGCCTGTTACCTGAGATTGCTTATTTATTGATTTGACAGCATTTCCTAGTTTCAATATCTGATAAATTTTCTTGAATATATATATATATACTCCTTTTTTTTTTCTTTTTTTTCTATTGCTGCCTGATTTATCTCATATAAATATTGCTAATAATTAAATCCAATGATTTATCCATCTTTCTTGTAGGCAATTGTCATTTATGTGGAGAACATGTTAAAGTTGGAGGGCAGTGCAATTGGAGAACTTGTTGGAGGCACACTGCTTATGGCAGTGGTTGATAGGTTGATAGATCTTGATGTAAGTATACACAAGTTGCCATTTACTTCTTGCTTAAAAGTACCACCTGTCTTTTTATTTGATAATAAAATGTATTGGAGTTGCTTTCAGGTGTCCATTGGTTGGGATGAAATGTTAGAGGAAGACTTCTGCAAAGGCATATTTGATATGGAGTTACTCGACTTGGATCAAGATGTAGACTATTCTGAGGAAGATGGCCATGAGGTATAATCGTTAAAATTATTCCTTTTGGCCTATTTCTGAATTTCTCTAGAAAGTTTAAAGTGGAAAATACTGGTGAACCTTTTTATTTAAAATTTGAAGGAACAATATCTGTTTTGAAAAGCATTTTTTGATTGATAAGGGGATTTACTGCTAACTTGCTGCCATTTGGTTGTTTGTTGTTTAGCAAAGTTAGTTTGTTAAAAATTTTTGATATTTGTTGAAGATTGATGTCCTTGTTTGTTATATACCAGTGTTATTTATGATAAAATAATACAAAGTTCACTGTACAGCTTCATCCATTAAGTTGTAAGAGTCTGGCTGGAAACGCAATTGCTGAATTATTAGATAGCCTGATGGTAATGACTTTCAGTCATCTTGAATCTTGTAAAGATACAGGGCGTTTAATGGAGGTACTTTCTAAATTAAATTTACTCTTCGTGGCCCCTTTTAAGCTAGCTTCCATTTAATTATCTTAAGTTTATTAATTGTTATGTTAGGTATTTGAGACTCTTCTCCAGTCATTCCAATTAACAGTTTTGAATGCACACAAGTCAAAATTTGCACAGGTAAAGACTATTCCTCAAATAGTAATGTTCATCATGTTGTTTTGTATAGTTCATATTATTACCGTATTTCATGACCCTCTTTTATCTCTAAATACCAGTATTAATACATTATTTTGTGATGCTTTCTTTTCCTGAGACCTTTTTCACATGATATTTGCAGTTTGTAATGTTTTATGCATGTGCCCTAGATCCTGAAAACTGTGGTCTGAGATTTGCCACAGTGCTGGCAGATATTTTTGTGCAGAATCTTCATTCCGAGCTTACCAGGTAAAATTTATTTAAATCTTGGGAAACTACTTAGCCATCTATTTTTCATCCTCATATTTTAGGCATCATTCCATATCATATCACTTATGTTGCAGATAATATTGAGATAGGTTGCAGTTAATTTTCAGAATCACAATTGTGCCATTTGCACAAGTATCCTACTAAATATGGGGACATCATTTCTCAAGCTATATGATTTTTGTGATGCAGGATGAGTGCGGTGGCATATCTTGCTAGTTACCTTTCTCGAGGAAAGTTTCTGTCAGCCTCTTTTGTTGCCATCATCCTGAAAAGGTGCTAAAGCATGATCCTATTTTTAATTGATTTAAGCTCAATTTTTACTATTTACCATGATCAAAATCATATTAGATTGCTGATTTTCATATTGAATGTTTGTTATCTTGTTTTCATGTAATTTATTTTATTAATAACTTATTTCAGGTTGGTGGACTGGTGTATGGAATATTGCAAAACCCAGGACGGTGATGTAAACCCAAAAGCGCATCGAGTTTTTTATTCCGGATGCCAGGTCTATACACATGCTCCTGACTTTATGTTATTGGAAAAGGGATGTTAATAGTGTTTAGTGATTGTTCTATAAAAAATCAGTGCAAAGTTAAGAAAGATAACTTGATGTTAATTCTATGTGCAAGGGCAACAGATTTGTTTCATTTTTGTTGTTTAATTTGTTTGCTAATAAGAATTTGTTCCAACTCTCACCTGTTGATGTCAACTTTGAACTACAGGCCATTATGTACGTGCTTTGCTTTCGCATGAAATCTTTTATGGATGTTGCACGGCTGAAGTCGCAGCTTCTTCTCATGCCTCTAGAGGCAATTTTAAGACATAAATTGGGCCCATTGAAGGTAATTGTTTTGTTTCTTTTATATTTTTAAAACTGCTATGACAATACGTACTGCATAAAATTGCAAGATATTTTCTTTTCATTATCAGAACATCTGAAATGCCTTCTTCTTTTTTATTTACCCTTTCTATTTTAAATGTGTCCCTTGAGCGAGGCTTAACTCAAAAGATTTAGTATGTTCTTTTAAGCCCTAATTATCTTTTACAAGCAGGTATGCCTTCCATCTGTGGTACAAGAGTTTCTCCGGCTGGCAAAAGCAGCTCGTCTCTTTACTGTTTCCAAAACATTTGTTTTTGATGACCTACTGGAGTCAGAACTCTCAAGGGCATTTGGTGGACTGGAAAGGCTTGATATGTTCTTTCCATTCGATCCATGTTTACTGAAAAAAAGTGGCAGGTTTGCATTCTGCTCTTAACATTGATTAGTTTTAGCATGAATGCCACAGATCTTCAAATTTATGCATAACAGAGTATGAACACTGATGACAAAATGACCTAGTATATAAATGAATAATTAACTTTCACGGGACTGCTTAGGCAACTAAATGTTGGTGTATGATATTCGGCTGACTTGTGAAGAAAAAACTGAAGTTGTGGATTTGTGATATGCTGGGTCTAGGTATTTGAGAATGAGTGGTTAGTTTCTAAACAGTCTCATAAGCCAAAATATGAAAAAAAGTACTCATGTCTCCGTTCACCGCCATGTATTAATACCTTTTGATAGATAATGATGGTTTGCTTTTTCTTCTTTTTTTTTTTTTTTATTTGAAGTATCATCCGTGAACACTATGTCTTCTGGTCAACCGTAAGACCCAAGTATGATGACAAGGAAAGCAGCAGTGATGAAGAAGATATTGATGAGGACTTTGTGGACGAAAATGAGGATATTTTGGATGATGGGATTGCAGGAAGCTCTGATGAACATGGGATTTGTCTCGATGAATTTGACTATGCATTGAACAAAATGTCCATAACACCGAAGGACTCCTTCAGTTTCAAGTTCGGAGGTCGTTTTCAAGAACATACAAGAATGCCTTCAAGAATCAGGCCCTCAACAAGTCCGGAGTCTTTGTGAGTTTGGCAATGATATTCAACTCCATTCCAAAGTCTGGACAAAAGAAATGTACTGCCTGCCTGTTCCAAGAAGCATCTCAGATCACGGGTTTTGAAGAATTCTTCGGTTTTGCCGTGTGGAAGGTGCCTGAGTTTTGCTTTCTTTTGGTAAATTCTTTCCGTAGTGATGTATAAGCTTATCATCGACAATATAACCCTAGTAAAATCACTGAAATTATCATATAGAAATGTGTTGTAATGTGTATTCTTTCCTTGCTGGTCCAAAAAAGAAAAAAAAAAAAAATCTGGATACTTTCCCTGGGAATTTGGATTGTAAGCTCTACACAATCGAACGTTCCTTCTTTGGTTTTCAAAAATCATTAAAAAAATCCTAAATTTACACTGAATCAATGAGAGAAATGCCATACTACGGGGACTTCAAGATCTCAGCATGAGAACTTACAGGTACAGCTTTAGTTTTTCTACATTTTCTCCATTACTAATTTTACCAAAAAAAAAAGAACGTATTGAAAATGAAAAATGAAACTAAGTGAGATTTAATTAGGAGCATGATAAATGCCGAAATGTGCAAAAATAAATTATTACTTCTTACAAGCCCTATGGTATTCAGACCTGGTCCTCTTTGCACCTACAGCAACAATGCCTACAAATCCAAACAATAGAAGATGATCTGGATGTTCAATCTGAAAAAATTCGGCAATAAATTGTAATTTTTAATGCATCAAAGTTTTGTCATCCATACCAGGTTTGCCTTTGGGTTTGACACTGGCATCATAGAAATCATCTTTGCATTGAGGAAGTTTCTCCTTGTCCTCACATCCAGATCGCTTTGTGGATAGTGTTATCACTTCGTATTCAAGCTTCTCCTCTGGTATGTCACATGATTGACTGAACGGCTTCATATAGCAAAACCTATAGGCAGATGGAGTGAAAACCTCAAATCTCGAAATAAGATAAAGTTTACAAAGAGAAACTCAGAGTTTTATCCCAAGCTGCAAAATAATGAACCATAACCATACAGTTTATAACAGAAACAAGGCATAGCTATCAAAATTGCAGACATGTATTTAAAATACAGAATAATTGAGCCCCATTACATAAATGCACACAAAGGAAGTAACAGAACATCTGGCAAATGAAAAGGGATTGTGAATAATGCTCTACAAACAAGTAGAGACAGAAGACAAATACCATTGAGAAGGTAAGCTCTTGCTGTCGAAATCAGCACTCAACACCCTCCACTTTCTACACTTATCACACTGCACCCATTCGTGATCAGGTTTATAAACAGCAGCGTTTTTGGTCTGGTGTCAACAGTGCAACAAAAGGGAAGTCAATTAGTCTGATTAAAAAGTGATGTTTGATCAAATTTATCTTAGTTGCAGAAAACACAAACCCAAAAATGTCTACAATATTCTTTAACTCAACTAAACAAGAGACCCTTTACAAATAGTATACCTGATAGTATCAATCAGTTGTTTAAACCAGAAATTAAACAATTTAAACAATAGTGGTACATAATTAAAACCAGATATAACTTACCAATTGCAGTTTATCAAAATTTTGGTCCCAATATTCGTCTACTTTTCTCCCTAGCCACAACTCTAATTGGGCGTAGGCTTCACAATCCTGGAATCCTTGCTTGTTATTGTGCACCCACACTCGGCCATTGCCAGCATTCTGCACCAAGAAAAGAAAAGAGGTTGAAAGACTAATTGCTTTTGATTAAATCCTCCATAAAAGCATGATGAGAAAACCACAGAAAACAGATGCAAAGACCATTCTTCTACTTGACAAACCAATAGTGAACAACCTCCAACCAAAATTGAAGACCAATAACCTACATTAAAATTTGAAAATGCAAAAAGAAAAGAAAAGAAAAGAAAGAATGACTCAATGAATATTAACTACCATTAAATCAGTAACATCCACAACACCAATCACACCACGACCTATCTCTCCATTATGAATCATGCCACCGACCCTCTTGTAAGCCTACAAACACAAGATAAAAGGAATTTGATTTTCAGAATGGATAGGGGCTGATGTTTGTGAAAAAAATAAATATAAGGGAAGATAACCCACAAACAAAAAAGAAGGATTAGTGCAACTGCTAATCAAGGGAACATGCACTAAAAAAACATCTTACAGATACAAGAGAATTTAGGGAAAGCTTGGAATCCACGTATACCCATATTATAACAAGAATCAAATTGGTATTATTGTAACAGTGAGCAGACATTCACCTCAATCAACCGACCATGCCAATACAAAAATATTCCACAATTTGCTTGCTCCCACTCTAATTGACAGAATCCAAGAGTTAAATGAAGTGGTTTTCCCATGATATTGCCAGTTTCAATACTGGTCTTATTCAGTGATTTTTGCAATGGTCGACTTTTAACCTGTTGAGAACTTGATGGTAAAATTAAACTGGATAGATCAAGTGAAACAAAAGATATCCAGACACAAGAAGTAGAAAAGAAAATGCTTTACCAGTGATCCTTGAACATATATCTTCATCCGTGGAACTAAAAAGATGACTTCTAGATACACACGAAGTGAATAATCTAGTGGCACCTGAGAACCAAAGGACATACAAGCTCAGATATATGTTGACTTAGAATAGAAATACCAGCAGAAACGAAACATTGCATAACCTTTTGACTAATCTGACCAGGACGGGATCTGATCCTTCTAGAACGGATGAGTATGTCACCTTGGTGGAAAGTGCTTCCTCCATTCAGCCCACATTGCCATTCCAGACAGTAATCTGAGGTCCACTCTTCTAAGTGCCAAATGTATATTTGTGTTCCAGTACATCTTCCATGGAACAAGCCTGTTTTCTCACCAATCAAGTATTTGTCAAATGGTGAAAATTCCTTAATGGCCTTTAAATTGTACTTTGCTAAAGTTTCAGAGTGGACACTTGTATCAACTTCCATATACTGTCCTTCTCGGCGGTAGCTTACAATGGGGATTTCAAGATTCTGTAGCACCAATAAATATTGAGATTAGACACTAAGAGCCTGTTTGGTGGAGCTTCTAGGAGCTTCAACTTTTTGACACTATTCATGTTTCATAAGTTTAAATTTCCCTTTTAAAAACTCACATTTTTAAACTTTTTTTTAATCTTAAAAAGACCTTAAACAGTAAAAGATCAAAAGCTTCAAATCCAAACTTTTTACAAACCCCTTTTTTACTCACTTTTTACTCACTTTTTCCTATCTCTAAAAGCAACTTTTAAATTTTCCCTCCAATAAAAATTTAAACTTATCACTCATGAACAGTACAAAAAACGCAAAAGCTCCAACAAGCTCCACCAAACATGCTCTAAGTCAGGAATCAAAAAGAAAATTACAAGGAAAGAACAAGTTCAATTTAAAAAAAAAAATGGCAGCAGGTAATTATTATAGCATACATCTTTTCCCTCATTTAATGACTGTGAAAGAAAAGCTATAGATCTGGAATTAGCGGTTTGAGTAAGAACCAAAGCATCCTTTCCAAGTCTCATCGATCCTGTCTGGAAAAACAATAATAGGATTAGGCATCATGTAATAATTCATGTTATTTAAAATCTTTTGCACCTGAAAGCAAGGTCTTAATATTAAATAAAGTTAAATTTAGTTTGATTTGGAATTTTTGGTTTTATATATGTTTCTCTGAAAACATCTACCTAAATTCAAATCATGCAATAATATACATTGTCCTAAAGGCATCAAGGATTATAAAAAAAAAAAAAGCATGTAAATCATGAATTGCTCTTGAAACTTATGAGATCGAACAAATGTCTTATAGGAACTAATTAGAAGTTTGCAAATTGCAACAAGTTTCATACTCACTGGCCAGAAAAATAAATAAATAAATAAATCAATAAATAAGCACAGTTTCATACTTCACAAACATGATGTTCAATTCTCCATCAACCATAAAATCAAAACCAATACAACACCCCAAATTGACATATAAGAGATATAGCCAATCAAAAAATTGAAGGAAACCAGAGAAAACTACCTTGAATCCAATACCAAATTTTCCAAGGCGATCTGGATCATCAATACCACCTTGTTTATGCCCAAAACATGTCATTCTCACAATATCTTGATGGGACATTCCATGGCCATCATCTATAACTGACAGCATAGGGATGTGTTTTCCAGCCCTTTTAGAATATATGATATCAATAGAAATATCCAATCTGTCAACATATACCAAAAGTTACCAATGTATATGTAAAAGATGACACTGACCATCAATTATTCAGTGTTGATAAAAGTAATACTTGAGGAATGAAAAAAGAGTGATGAAAGAAGTAGTAAAAAAATCAGAACTTAAACTACCTCTTTGCTTTGGCATCCCTGGCGTTATCAACAAGCTCAGCTACTGCACCAAAAATCCATCCAGAATGCGCCTGACCAAGAGTTTGCAGGTAACTGGGGTCTGCTCGCACATAATTTTTCTCCAAGGGCCTTTCTTGTTTTACAGCATGGTGTTGAGGATCAGTATAAGTTTCAAATTCTAATTTTGGAGCATGGTGACCTCCAACTGTGCATGAAAAGCTTATGTCAGGGAATCAAGGAGCTATTTAGATTGATAAACCCCTTGCCACATGCATGCAACACTTACACTGCAAACTTCTCAAACCTGATGTAAAGCTATTTTCAATTTACAATGCAAGTGCCTACCAGTAATGATAGCTAGCTCTATTTTGCTGGGCTGGTTGAATTAAAGAGTACATAACTTTAACACACTTTAAATATACTTATGAGTTATTAGGCAGTATCCTCCATGGCCATCTCTCCTACATTGATGAGAGTTGGAAAAGGGACTTTATTGATTCAAAAAAGTCAGGTCCACATATGGTCATAAGCAGTAACTTTTCTTTTTTGCTAAACGTTATGAGCATTAACTTATTTAGGGATAAAACACCTAAAGGGTGATTTCCAGTTGTATTATCTGGAACAGCTGTATGGATGCCAAAATGAAAAACAAAGGTAGGGAAAAAGTAGATCTCCGTCTCACCATGCATTGGAGCATAGCATCCTTTCCCCATCTTATAGGCCACTTTAATGTGTGCAGAACTCGATACCGTATCCGGAGGAAGTATGAAGAACTCAAAACATTCATGTTTCAGAATAGCAACCTTCAAACATCAGATATCAATACCTTAAAGATACATTGTGTACACAAAAATAAACTATGCACATGTAAAAGAAAGATGTTATCAAAAAGCATGGAAAATTGTTAGCCTAAACATGTGTCCAAAAAAGGAAATAAATAGTTAGGTGTTAAAACATTAAAACAGCTTACATGAAAAGAACACTATAAATAATTTCCTTAACTGAAAAAAGGAAATATATATTAAAAGAATCAGCATCTATGATGCAGAAAAAGAAAGATTAAAAACATTAGAACAATAAGAAGAACTTCATTCTCTTAGATGCAACCATGATGGCAAAAATAAAAAATAAATAAAATCAAATCAAAACCTGATGAACCCAAAATAGACTCATGTAACTAATAAAAGGATTAATAATCTTTCAATCATTAGGTTTAGCAGAAAAGCAAATAATTTGCTCTTTTAATCTTAGCAAGCTAGCCTTAGAAACTCTAACCATGACCAAATCTCAGGTACCTATGTATTTTGCTAGTGAAAATTATTAAAGCAACCAATTTTAGATCATTGATGACTTAAAGATCATTGAATTTATGTCAATGATGGGTTCTTTACCATGTCCCTGCAATGAAGAAAATCCAAAAATCTTCTCCACTCTCTTTGTTCATAATGGAATCTGGGCGCAGGGAGTAGTTCGCAATGAGGCAAACCATGAGGAATGTGTATCCTGGCTCGAGGAACTATATTCAGTATACTCCAACGCTCAGGCCTAATCATTGCACATTCACAAGGTTAATTTGAAAACAACTGAACATAGTCAATCAGATTAAAGAAGAACTCAAAATATACAGGGCTTAGATGTCCTTCTAGTGCTACAAGCTGCATGCAATGAAACAAAGTATAGTGGCAACATATATGGTACAGACAAGATGATAAGGGAAGGCGTTGCATACATACAATCCTATTGGAGGTTCTAGGCACCGTGTCAGGCATATAATCTTCTCATCTTTCATAAGCACAGTGAAGTGCTTAAAGCTGTCTGCAAAGTGTTTTTTTTTTTTTTTTTTGGATAAAAGAAAGGTTAGAAACTTATAATGTAGACTCAAAAAAATAAATTTAATGATGCCACAGAAATAAATAAATAAATAAAATCAAAGTATTTTTTTTTTTTTTTTTTTTTTTTCAAAGCAGGGAAATAGAGACAAGGGAAGCAACAGCAACAACAGGAAGAAAGAAAAGCGGGTATTCCTTCAAATTCTGAAAACCCTAACATCAGAAATCAGAATTCCGAATTGAGGAAGCACAAGAGCTAGCCGAAATAAGAATATCATCCCAAAAACCAGAGAGAGCGACGAAGGGAACCAGCAGTCCAATGAAAAATCCAGAGGACAAAAGAAAAATGATTTACGGATTAGAAAAGGAAACCAATAGGGAGTCAACAAACATATCATTTTCAAGTCAAAGAAACTTAACATATGCAGGGAAACAGCAGAATTGACTGAGTACAATCAAAAGGAAGAAATTTTCCCAAAAATGGAAAACAACAAAGAAATCCTCAAAGTTTTCTTATCTCCTTTCCTTCAATACAAACAAAATCAAGGAAGGAAGAAGAGAAAAAACAACAGAGGATGAAATCAATCGACGAAACTGAGTTTGCATGGTAGTAGAGCAGAGTGCATGAAAGCAGAGAAAAAGAGGAGATAGAGAGAGAGAGAGAGAGAGAGGGAGAGAAGTGATGGAGGTACTAACCAGAGTCCATTATAGGAGACTGAAGAGCAAGACGGACTGAGGTCGGAGTCGAAGAGCGGCGGCGACGGCGACTGCGAGAAGAGTGGAGCGGAGTGAATTTTCTTATACTCTTCTTTTATCGTCCGCAAGAAGTCAAGCGTCGGTTTCTTTTATGGGACTGAAGCTCTGTGCTGGGCATTCTACAGTCTGCAGTAATGTGTTTTTACTATTTTGCCCCTCCATTTTTTCTGTCTCCACCGATTAGTCCCACGTTCTGAGCGGTTGCGTGCAACACAAGTTGTTGCCTTTTGTTCATTCTCGAATTTTTTCAAGGAAAATAATTGACCTATGATTCCTTTGCATAATATTTTTATAATGTTTTTATAGAATTTTATGTATTATTTAATTGATAATTTTTTTTAATATTTTTTATTTTAGAGTTCAAATTATACTAATTGTTAAAATTAAGGTGTTTAGATGAAAGAAATAGATTTAATATCAAGGGCTTTTCTTCTTATCTAAAAGTTAGTGTTTTGTATTTTTGTATAACTCAAACTGCAAAGCAATTTTTCTTTTTATTTTTTAAAATTTATAATGGAGGTTAGAAAAAATAATATGTTAAAGCCCTAAACTAATTCCAAATTTACTATTGAGCTTTCAAACTTTAATTATGCATAGAAGCCCTAGGCTCTATGATTTGAGCAATTTAACCCTTTTTTTGACAATAATTTAACCTTTATTTTTACCGTAGTTAAAGAATTAATGATTAAATTGTTCAAATAATAGAATTTAGGGTTTATATATACCAATTAAACTTTGAGGACTCAATAATAAATCTGAAATTAATCAAGGGGCTTAACATATGATTGTACCTTATTATATTTATTTATTTATTTAAAAATATGTAAAAATGAAATAAAAAAATTAAACAAAAAATGCACCACGGGCATTATTACAGTTTTTAAAAGAAAATTGCCACCAATAAAATGGTTGGAGAAAGAATGCCAAAAACAGGGGCACGTAAGCCATTATGCGAGTAACATTTAACATGTGAATTTCATATCGTTGTGTTCAAGAGATTTTTTACAAAATACAAAAAGATGTTAGACAAAGGCAAGACTATCCCTGGAGATTTCTGGGAACGGCTGTGCTGGAGACTACAGCTCTAATTTGATTCAGTTCCCAGTCATCGGTTTATCATTAAGAAAGGCTTGTGGATCTGGAAATGAAAGCAAAACGAATGGCCAAAGAAAAACTCAATCTGCAGCAATGGGCTCCATCTGTTTCTCTTTTGCATCATCTGTCTTGAAACAGGGCTTCGAGGGGAAGACAAAAACTGTGGCTGCTGCGGTGGAGGGTTGAAATACAGCTGAATATCTCACAGAGGTCAGAGAGACTCTGGGCAGCTGTTGCAAACCTGAGGCGAGTGCTACAATCTTGTAATGAAGAATGTGTTCGGATTTTGGAAGGATAAAAGCAGTGTCATTATGAGGCCCGCATAACACAAAACTCTGTGCATCCGCTGAGGAGAACTTGACCTCTTGAAGCAACTCTGTGTGGTTACGAATTTTAACAGAGTATGTGAAGGGCTCTCCAAGGACGGCATAAGGCGGGCACTCCAAACTCACAACTAATGGTGATAACTCTACATTTACTTCAGGAAGTTTATGTTCAGTTGAAACCCATGAAGCTGTACTAGTCGAACCAGATTGATCTCCAATTCCAGAATGCCTCCTCCATTTTAGATGCACTGATCCCAACGTAAGTTTTGAGGCGTCCACCTTTGGAATGACAGTGAAAACCTTCTTGAACTCTTTACCTGGCATAACAACTGCACAGCCCAGAAGATCTTGACCTCCAAACTGCGCTGAACATGACCTTTCAATGTTATTGTCATCAACTTCAATAGACATGGAGAGTAATTGCAATGGCACCTCACAGCAGTTCTTGGCATTAACGAGGATTACAGTTGTTTCATTCAGGGGTAACGATCCCAACTGATCAGAAACAGTGACAGTGTTGGTCCTTGACAGCAGCAATGCATCCCTACGGAAGGGTGCCATAAAGCGATGGCTGATTTGGATGGCAACCTTTCCTTCAATTTGCAAGCTCTTGTGGACATTTGTTTTCTGAGCGTTCAAGTCATTGCCATTTAGGGAATATCCCAGTGATACAAACAACATGATTGGTTTTGGTCGGTGCCACTTGATTTCTAGCTTGCAGGACCATGATTTTCCAACTTCTAGGGAAGGAACTGAAAGCAATCCAAATGATTGTTGAATTTTAGCAATTTTATCAGGACCAGGTTGAGATTCACCCTCACCTTCAGGACCAGTAATGCCAAGAAGCTCAACATGATGACTATCCAATCCAAACGGTTCTGATTCGCTGGGACTAAACAAACCACCTCCTCTTACATCCACCAGATTGATCTTCAATTCGCCAAAGTGTATTGCATGGCTGCCGGCAGTGATGGTAACTGGCACCATGAAACTCTCCCCAACTAATGCGGAGCCTGATGCACCAACCAAAAGATCCACTTGCGGATCTGGTTCCTCAACTTGAGCAGCCTTCTGACCAGAGAATGCCAACGCAGGATCCTTAGTTGGAAAAGTCTCCACACGAGCTTCAAACTTCCAAAGTGGTAAATCATCCATTGAAGCAGGACTTTCAGCTCTGCAACAGATTGTGAAGTGTGATCCCATTTTTGCAATGATAGATATGCACTCAAGCTTCCCACTTTGCTCTGCATCATTCAAATATTGTCTTACACGCCAGCAGATGGAACATAAAGAAAGAAAATGAAAAAGTGCAAGTGCATTCAGACAAGATAATTCAACATTATGGCCAGCCTGGTCAAATTTTCAAAGTGTGCACATTAACAACTGCCAATTTGAAGAGATTGAAGAAAAGATAACCAGCAGTGGTATACAGTAGCCAATAGGCCATAAAGCTACTTTATATCAACACAATCTACTTCAAAAATGTGTTTGTGAGTGTGTGACTACCACCTAAATAACTCAGTAAATAAATTATAAAAAAATATGCAGCAACATGACAGAATGATCAGCCTACACAGAGGCAAATGACCATATTGGCAAGGCTGTATAAAAACTGTGTGCAAGGAAATGAAAATTCTAGGATAAATCATGCATTTACTCTCAGCAAATTCAAATTCTGCCTATTTGATGCAATTGCTACCAATGTCAAAATCTATGCTTGAACATGATGCATTATGAAAAGTGAAAGAATGCATTGAAGAATAAGTGCTGTACCAGATTTTATATCATAAGTCAATCGTAGCCACTTGTTTGTCAGAAGTGCTAAAGAAGGAGCACTCTCTAAACGGCATCCTTGCCGCTCAGTGAGCACAGTGTCTGATAGTGATCTTTGAGCATTTATTATATAAAAGTTACACTCAGGTTGGTTAAACTGCACTTCCAGGTAATCAATCTCTATGGTGAGAGGTAATTGCGAGAGAAGTGACAATGTTATCAAAGAGGGCACGCCGGGCTTAATTATCTGCTCATGAAAAGCAACTGAAGCAAGAAGTACAGATCTAAGGGGACTCACGAGATCAATCTCAAGGTGAAGTGGATTATCTGCTGTTACTTTGAAATTATCATCATCTTTGATGGGTGACCCAATGACAAGTCCAAACACTTCCTTGTGCATCATTTCCCTCTGTGAAAGACTGGCAAGACCGCCTGGACCATGTTCTTTAGCTCTAAAATGCTGGGTGTCAACACCAGACAACACTGGCAATGCAGCCATTTCAAGTGAATACTCTATAAAATCCTTCAGTTCACCAAGCCTCCTTGAGCACTCTCGAAGGTAACCCAAGACCTCCCATAACACAGTAACCCACCCTTCTTGTCTATATAGATTTGCAAGACCATCAAACATCTGTTTTGCATTGCTGAAATCATCAAGAGAAAAATATTCCCTAGCAATCTGAAATGCACAAAGAGAAGCCATCCTTGGGACTTTGAGATTACCATATGATTCATAAGATTTTTTGAGCAAAGCAACAATTTCAAAGGAATCCTGAAACCTTTTCCCTTCAGAAATAGCATAATAGGTGTACTCTTCATCGGTAAGGCTGCAGAGATGGGGGAAAATCAGAGATGAATCTGAAGCAAATTGCTATAAATCAACAAAGACATTCTAGCATTTATTTTTATTTTTTCAAGACTTACGGTTGCATAGCTAGATCATTGCCTTGCTCAAGTAGCCTAGCAAATTGGCCCACATATATTGAAGGTACCACGGATTCAACACTATTATCAATTTCATTCCAAGTTTCAAATATAGACAATGCAAGCTTCAAAGCACCTCTCTTTTCCTTCAAATAGTGAGCAGCTGACTGTTCCAAGATGAAATGTCACAACTCAACAATGTTAAAGCAAACAGCCAAATAAAAACTATGTTGAAAGAAGTAAACAAGGTTTTAATTAAGCTTCAATAGCATCCTCCTTTTCACAGAAATAAATAAATAAAACTATGAAAATAAAGGAATAAATAGGATTATGGAGATCCCTATCTTTACTTGACACGATTATAAACAAATTAATTAGAGCAAGGATTATTTTAACCCCTAAACCAATGTCCTTCAGCTAATAGAGAACTCTTGGACAGGGATTGATCCTGACTATTTCTAGATTCAATTACTGATAGAATGGTATGGATGGTAGCTCACCTGATAGTAATAAGCTGGACGAAATTCCCATTCAGTTAAAGGTCGTTCTGCAGTGCCCAATGGTAGAGAGGGAATGTCTTGAATGGTGGCTGAGCTTGTCTCCAGCAACTCAGCAAATACTAAAAACTGTCTGCTCACCCATTCCCAGTGGAGAAAAATATTTTCTGGTGATCCAACCAGCCTTCTATATGAAGCACAATGCTGCTGGAACCACTTAACTGCTTCAGTCAACTTTCCACCATGCAATAACAAAGTGGATATCTTGAAATGCAATTGTTCTGCAACAGTTTTTATCTCTACCATGCGTTGAATCCCTGGCAACCTTGTTAATGTTGCAACTGTCTACACACAAATCAAGCACTAAGTCTAAGAGGCATAAAGTATATCTTACAACATAGAGTTGCATGGAAATATGCCATGTATGGTATTTTCATTTATAGCTTTAAGTGTTAACCAACACATGTGAAAAAATAACTATGGCAGGCTTTCAGCAGCTAAACTAGATTAGCAATAGTGAAGTGGTCAAATAAGGTAAATACCTCCCGTAGGGCATGATAGGCATCTTCATAAAACTTCAAGGCTTCAACCCAATCCCTACGAAACTCTGCATATACAGCAACCTAGCAATTCATAACAATTAGGCAATAAGAAAATCATACAAAATCCAAGACACCATTGTACCTACTTCTAAGTCATGAGAAAGTAAAGAGGACATGTTTAAGTGCATGTGCAAATAAGGATTTGATGATCTATTCATTTCACTTCTAGGTAGGCTCAAAATGACACATTTCTACATGGCATTAGAAACTCTTAGTCTTTGGCCCAATACGGAAAATGTTTCATATCCATACATATCTTAAATCAACTCAAACCACATATTGAATTCAGAATGCACACTAGTCTTACTTTGAAACAATAGCGAACATGCAAGTCAACAGAATTAAAGGCCTTCTTCTCAATACGAGTTTTAATCCTTCGTCCTTCATCTCTGTAATATACCATTGCCAGTTCTGCAAATGCAGTCCCCAGCCTGAAGGAATGTAAACGTTCATTAATACATGAGCAATGCATTATTCTCCGTTTAAAATTCAAAAAAATTAAAGAGGAAAAAGGAAGGCATGCCTGCTAAGGGACTGCTTGAGCTCAAAAGGGTCGTTGGGGTTAAAGAAAAGAAGGTACTTGGCATCCACTTCAGCTCGCTTACGTAGAGCAAGGAGACGATCTTCGCTGATTTCATCTGCATTTGCAATAGAATTAAGAAACGGAAGTTGATTTTATACACAAAATTGACGCAAAATGAAGAGAATGGGAAGAAGGATACCCTTGGAAGAAGAGTGAACGACAATAACAAGAAGTTTTGTGTTCCTGGAACGAATCAGGGCTTTCAGTTGGTCGAGATCGGAGCAGACCTGGAGCCACTGGGCAGGGTCGCCAGCAACATGGAAAGAGCTGAAGAGCGCGGCGACCACTGCGGGAGTCTTGGTCCGGTGCTTTTGCAGCCAATCCCTCTTCAACAATCCATTTGAGGAAGAAGAATCGGCGGGCTGTTGGTTGTTGTTGGATTTGGCGGGCAGGAAAAGCAAGATCTTGGATAAGTCCGGCAAGGCCAAGGTGTTGATAGGAGGCTGCTCGGAGTTGAGGTGCGTAGAGATGAGGGCGTGTTGCTCCGTGCACCCCACCAACGCTACCAGGCTGACCGGCGGCGTCCTCAATTCCTCCGGGTACTCTTCCATCTTCGAATGAATCGGAATCGCAGCAGACCACTCCGACGTCGAAACATTACCGTGAAATCTGGGTTTAAACTTCTACCAAAAGGAAAAAGGATTGGGTTTAAACGGGCCATATTAAAATTTAATATTTGGACCCAATAATTTGAGTGGAAGAATATCCGATCAGCCCATGTTGAAATTTAACATTTGGACCCAACAATTTGAGTGGAAGAATATCCGAGCAGCCCAAGTTACCAAAACAATTTGGATTCGGTTGGAAACGAATTGAGCGAAAGCTGGGCTTGGTCTTGTTTTTCAGCCCAGGGCCACGTTGAAACTCAATATCTTTCGTTACAACTCACAACACTCGGATAGGGCCTTTTTTTTTTTTTCTTCTTCTTCGGTATATATAATAATGAATTATATAATAAAAAATAACTCTTTTTTTCTTTTAATAACTTCCACATTAGGAAGTTTAAAGTTAAGATTTCTTATTTATAATTTAAAATTTTTAACCAATTAAATGTCTAACCCAACAATTAAATGTCTTTAGCTTGTGAAATCAAGGAGTATGCATCATTGATGATAGAAGGAAGATTTTCCTTGAATCCAGAAAAAGGATCGGTTCTCCTCAAAATCAAGTCATTTGTAGCATCTTGTCCACAAGCTTTAAATTTGTTTCACACACGAGAAAAACATGGTCGGTAGTTTTCACGTCCTTGGCAATGTTGGCATAGAATAAACAAGACATATCATCATTGTTGATTTGGATGCCCCTTTGATGAAGCTAATCCTTAATAGGGGCCCCATTGCCCTTTTTTTTTTTTTTTTTTGAATAGTTTACACCTTTTGGGAAGGGAGATATGGATTTTTAAATACGTTGGTAAAATTCAAAACGCCAATTAAGTTAACCCAAACACTTAAAAAAGCTTGTAAGCAAACCATTTAGGCCCGAAAGCCCGGCTCGCAAGGTTAGCCTAAGCAGTAAAAATAAATGCAAACCATGTGTGAGAATGTAAGTTCAAGTTGTTTTTTTTTTTTTTAATTTTTTTAATTTTTTTTTATTGTCATTTGAACACAAATAATTCTAGTAAGTTACGTCTTCTACTTTTGAAATAGAGCTTTACCAAGAAAATGTACAAATAATGATGTTAACTTTATGTTTTTTTTTATTTAAAAATATTAATTTTATCAATTTTTAAATAAAAAAGTTAATTTTAATTTTTTATTTAAGGATATCAATTTTTAATATTTTAGTTAAAAAATCCACTTACCATATTAATTTTGTAAATTTCTAAATAAAAGTGCTAACTTTCAACTATTTTTTTTAAATTTAAGAATGTTAACTTTTTTTTTTTAATTTAAGGATGTCAATTTTTAACATTTTAGTTAAAAAATCCAATTTT